GGATGCCTGAAGCTCAAGCCTAAGCAATTGAGCTCTAGTCAAATAGAAAGTCAAAATTAACCGGTACGTGTTTATTCTTTAAAAAAAAAAATGGCAGAATAACATGATCTGATTTACATTGAAATCAGCACCATTCTATTCTACAGAAACTTGCTGGTATTTCTTTCAAGCCTGGTCCTACCACTGCTCTCAGCCCAAACAAGTTCAAAGACACTACACTAATTACAAAACTGTTGGCCGATGGCTAGGGCTTCTTATTGGCTCGCTCTGCCTTAGTTATTAACCCATAATGACTAATTTATGTATTTTTACATGGTCTTATCTTACCAGAGAATGCCTGGGGTATCCCATCTTCCTGGGCTCTAGATGGCATCCTCTCTGCCTAGCTTTCCCAGAATTCTCATCTCCTAGCCCAGCTTTATCTTCTTGCCTCTATTGGTCAAACAGAGTTTTGTTCATCAACCAATAAGAGAAACATATATACAGAAGGACATCCCTCATCAAGAAACCAATAGTGGCAGTGAAACTCTAAGTAGGAAAAGAACAGAAGTAACCAACAGCTGGAGATGGCTCCCCTGGGAGAGAGCTTACATAGTATGAATGAAGCCATGGGTAGCCCCTGAGATTGTGAGAAGTGGACTTAAATGTGTTGTCGGGTCCTAGAAAGGACTGGTTTGGGAGGAAACTGCAATTTACACAGGTGCTATCACATGCCATGCTCAGGTCACGTACTACACCAGAGTAATCCTCCAAAGTAGGAGTCAGTCACGTGATCATGCTCGCATGCATATCTGTGCATGTGTGTCAGAGAGATAGATTGTGACAGAGAGAGATAGGTAGAGAAAGAGAGAGAGACACAGAGAGAGAGATCCTGTGGAGATTGAGTCACAGTCAGCTGTGAGCTGCCATGTGCGTGCTGTGAATTGAACCCAGGTCGGGCCAGGTGCAGGGCCAGGGCCAGGTGCAGGGTCAGGGCCAGGGCCAGGGCCAGGTGCAGGGCCAGCGCCAGGGCCAGTACAGGGCCAGGGCCAGGGTCAGGGCCACAGCCAGGGAAAGGACCAGAGCCAGGTGCAAGGGCCAGGGACAGGTGCAGGGCCAGGGCCAAGGCCAGTTGCAGAGCCAGGTGCAGCATCAGAACGAGGGAGATGTGGCCATGGCTGTCCTGGCCCTGGCCCTGGCCCTTGCCTTGGACCTGGACCTGGCTGTTCTTTCCTTGGTCCTGGCACTGGCCCTGGCCATGTTCATGACCCTGGCCTTTCTGACCCTTACCCAGGTCCTTCTGGCATCTCCAAGACATGGTTTACCTCCTCTGTAAAAGCCCAGGATCCAGGCCCATCAATGGTGGGTGCCTCCCCAACCCAGAAAGGAGAGCAGTTGTTCAGAAGCGAGGAAGGGTCAGCTCTGTATAATGGGAAAGAAAGACTGGAATCCCGGAATGTGAATACATCCAAAGACTTGACTGATGCTTATTACACTGGGCATTTTGTGGAGAAATGGATAACCAGTCAGGAAAGAGAAAAAAAAATCCCAATATTATTGTGCATGACAGACACAATGCAAACATGTTTTCACTAGTAAAAAATTGCAAAAGAATTTCTTAGGGTAAGGCTTGAAGAGTAGAAAGAAAATTAAGACAGATTCATATTAAGAAAAACCTCTAAAGGTTTACAGTGTGTTTTAAAATATACGTAGACATGAAAAAAATGGTTTTAAAGAGACAAAGAGGAACTGGGTGTTGTAGCACATGCCTTTAATCCCAGCACTCAGGAGACAGAGGCAAGCAGATCTCTGTGATTTGCAAAGAAAACCTGTTATGCAGAGTAAATTCCAGGACAGATAAGAGTTACACAGTGAAACACTATGTCAAAAAATAAAAAAATAAAAGTAAAATAAACAGAGTAATAATAAAGCTACGTAAAGATAAAAAGCTCAGAGAAAATCTGGTTTCTGTTATCCCTGTTCTTTCCAAGGACTTTATCATAAAAGGGTGTTTGATTTTGACACTGGCATTTTCAGCATTTAGTGAGATGATAATGTGATTTTTCTGTTTTAGGGCCAGGTGCAGGGCCAGGGCTAGGGCCAGGGGCAGGGCCAGGTTCAGGGCCAGGGCCAGGGAAGGGACCAGGTGCAGGGCCATGGCCAAGGCGAAGTGCAGGGCCAGTGCAAGCCCAGGTCAGGGCCAGTGTCATGGCGAGGTGAAGGGCCAGGGCCAGGTGCAGGGCCAGGGAAGGAGGAGTCAGCATGGAGAGTCTGGAGAAAGCAGAATGCCAGTATGCTCCTCAGTAAGAAGACCACATGAACATACATAGATCAGCAGAAATGGGTTAATACTTAAGACAGAGCTAGCACATAAGAAACTAGTACCAGGCCCTGGCTGTTCTGGCCCTGGCCCTGGCTGTTCTGGCCCTGGCTGTTCTTGCCCTGGCCCTGGCTGTTCTGGCCCTGGCTGTTCTGGCCCTGGCCCTGGCTGTTCTGGCCCTGGCTGTTCTGGCCCTGGCTGTTCTGGCCCTGGCTGTTCTGGCCCTGGCCCTGGATATGCCTAAAATTCTACCACCTAAAAAGTGAGGCATATGGATCAGAAGTTGGAGATCACATAGCCAGTTCAAGGCTGACCTGAACCACACATAAGATCTTGTCTCAATAGGAACAAAGCAAGCAGAAAAAAAATGAAGGCTACCTGAAGAAAATCATTCAAAATGATGAAAGGTTTTCTTTCTGGGTTCAGTATATTACAAAGTAAGGCCAACATGGTATGGTATTGTTGGTAAGGTGTGAAAAAATGATATTTACCTAAGCTAAATTTCACTACTTCATATGTTTGAAAGCACATTACTAATATTCTAATCAGGGACTTATTTAAAGGGAACCAGTCTACAACCACCTATTTCTGAACACAGCAGTAGCAAGGAGCTCAGAGTACATAGCAGTCAAGCCACTTCATAATAGGTGTGGTTTTATGACCTCTTTTGTTTGCTGAGTCAAAGCTGAGTCCATCATGAGTGTGAGAAAGGAGAGGAAAACTAGCAGGGAAAGAAGTCAAAGGGTATAGGGCATGTTTTTGTTCTTATCCCCAACAAAAAGCAAGCTATGACATATGTGATTTCTGCTGTGGGAGCAACTTGAAAGAACAATTTTGGGTCATAAAGATATCACCATACAGTTTTAATTTATTTTTTTCTTAAAGAGATTTAGAGATCACTATTTTTACAGATTTGTATATGACAGCAGTGACTTAAAATAAATAGATCTTGTTTCAATTCAAAGCTTCTTGGTGTCCCAAACGGCATCTGCATTTAAATATACCTTGGTGCTTACATATGCACGATATATATGGATTGAGTTTGGCCATTAACTAAATAGAACGGATGCCAGCCAGACTGAGACAGACATATCAACTGGATATCAGCCTGTTTGAAACTATGGCAGCAGCAAGCTATTAGAGTGCCGAGCTGCGGTGGTACATATTTCTATTTTATCTTTATTGTAATGAGCACGCCCTGTCTTTAACTCCCGCTGTGCACTTTTGGAGGGTCTTCCATATGGTTGCTGCTAAGTACTTGGCATTTTCCCAACTGTTACAATTGGGTCAGTGGGGGGGATCGCTAGGAGTAATAAAGCAAGGGTGACTGCAGCAGGGAGGAGTTAGATTCCTACCCACATGGCAGCTTAGTGCCTCTCATGCATTCAAGCACAGCTCTGTGGCATTCATTACTATGGGCAGCCAGGGTAAACTACCCCTCCACCCCCACCCCATGGCGTTTTCACAAGAAAAGGCCAAGTCCTGGCTACAGTATCCCTCCTCTATTGTATTTTCAGTATGGTTTACTTTACCTTCTAAAAATGACTCACTCGAGGAAGGAAGACAAGTGTACCTTGTTTCCTGAAAGTTTTCTTAACAAACTCTTGGCTAAATAAGAGCAGCAGCAGCAGCAGGGGGATTAGCAGTGTTCCTAAGGGTTTTGATGTCTTATGCAGTTAAAAAAAAAAAAAATGCAGCAGGCAATTCTAATGATCCTCAAAACTTAAACATTCCTGAGGTACAATTAATTTGTCGATTCTGAAATGAATAATAGGGTGTTCTTTACACCCAAAATTATCCACGAAAAAAATTAAAAAAAAAAAAAAACACCGTTACCACTACTATTATTAGATACTAATAATTGAACCAGGGCCTGACACAGGTTCAACTATTTTCTTTTAATCCCATGGAAGGCAGTGTTGCTACATAGGAGATTTGGAGGGAAATACGTTCAAAGCCAAATTATGATTGTAAACAGTGAAACGACATATTAAGCAGAGGGATACACACATAAATATGCACTACGAGATTATATTTTCTGTATTTGCTTTATACACTCAGGGATTTAAATAATTGTGCTCTTCTTTTAGCATGGCATGGAGACTTTGGTGTCAACCTAGAGCTATGTAGCAATTTATTAGGTCCACTGCACAGACAATTTTTGTGTGTGGGTGTGTGACTCCGTGTTTTTTTCCTGAGCCTTTTATAGCACATCTAGAGAGAGTTGGTGACGATTAAGCAAGAATACAAATATAAGTACACTTTCACTATTGTTTCCAGCCAAGAGCATTATACAATAGCTCAGTATAAAGAAACTTATTCTTCATGCCTGCCTTTCCTGCCCAACAATCTTCAGACCCCAGATCCCTAGTGACAGATACAGGCTGGTGGAAGCATCCGGCAGCAGGTGAAGCGGGGGTCCCACGGGAGGCTGAAGGCCATCAGGCCGGTCGGGAAGAGCTCCGGGCAAGCCCCGCACTCCCGGAGCATCCTCCACGGCCCGGCACTGATGGCGTGGGAAGTCCTCCTGCCATCCATCAGTCAGGCAGTCACAGGTCCGCAGTCCCCATCCCCGGGGAGCCCTAATGCCAGCAGCCTGGCAGAAGGAGGAAAGCGCCAGGCAGTGCTTGAGATCAGCATAGAAGCCGTCCGAGCACGCTGCACACCTGCCCGCCTGGTGGTCCAGATCTGGCTCGGTCCGGGGCTGGATTCCGCGACCCTGGGCTCGGGAAGAAGAGCTGGCAGCCTTCGAAGTGAGGGCAGCGCCGCGGCTTCAGGCACGCAGTGCGCAGGCGCGCGCGCGCAACGCGCAGGCGCCGCCCAGAAGTGACTTCTCCAAAAAGTGTCTTAGTTCCCGGTCACCTGAGCGTCCGCGACGCCTTCGCGGCAGCCACGCCTGTCGCAGCTCGTGTCCCCGGACCCCTGCTCCCGCTCCCCCCCACTCCCCCGCCTCCGCAGCTGCGAGCCGCTCGCCCCCACCCGGGCTCCGTCCTCCCCTCCGTCCTTTCCCTAGAGCCCGGCCGGACCGAACCGGGCCGAGCTGGGCCGCCCGGGCGCGCCCGCTCACCATGGCGTCCCTCTTCAAGAAGAAGACCGTGGACGGTGAGTTCAAGGCCGGCCCCCTGCGCCCCGGGGGCTCCGGCTGCGGCTCGCCGCTGTCCCCGGGGGTGGGCCCAGCTCGGCGGTCCCACAGGTGACCGTGGCTGCGTCACTCTGGCTCGGCAGCCTCACCTGGGCGGCCCGTCCTCCCGGCTGCTCTCACCCCACCCTCGCTCTCCTTTTCTCCCCCCCTCCCCGCCCCATCGGAGGGATCCTGAGCTTTCTGAGGTCGCCGAGCGGCGCTGGCCCTCGGGTGTCGTTAGACTTGGCGACTTGATGGGCTTCTTGTGGGTTTCTCCTGCTGCTCGTTTGTTGCTGCCTCGGTGGAGACAGCCCCACTCCCTGACTTCCGAAAGGGAAGCCGGTGTGCTCAGTGGAGGACCAGGCAGGAGGTCGCAGCGGGGTCCACTTAGGAAAAGAACTTGGGGCCCGGCTGCCTGAACCTTGCCACGTCCCTCAGCATGATAGATAGGAGAGACTCCAGCAGGAAAATAGGACCCAGGGAAGGGACCAGGCTTAGTGCTCACAGTGTCACAGTGCAGATATGGTATCTTTTGCCAGCCAGAGTGAGGGATGTGTAATTTGCACAGGAGTTCGCGTTTAAAAAAAAAAAAAAAAAAAAAAAAAAAAAACTTTGATCGTTTCAGGTGACTCAGTGCCATCTTGTGAAGAGGGGGGAAAGTGGGTGTACTGGAATGTACAAGTTTAGTGGCATTCCTAGGCACTGGTGTCGTGTATATGTTATACACGCCTTTGTAAGGGTCTAACCCAGCCACAAAAGGGGCAGTGGTAGCCAGACTGTGATTGGTACAATCCAGGAGCTCAGCCCTGATTTGGGGGTAACTCCTGCATCTCTTTGTGTTCACTGTTCCAGTGCCAGATTTGGGGGGAGGATAACAAAGACACCATCACTATGGGGTTTCATTTCAACACAGGGTGTCATTTTTTCTCAATCAACAGCATAATGGAGTTTTGCTTCTTTCTCTGTTACTGAAAAAATCCACCCCCCCCCCCCCCCCCCCGCTATTTGGACTTTTTGCTAATTGAGAAGCAATGTTTTCAGCATCTGGAATAGCTGCTAACTTGCTAGGTGCCATAACACAATTACACGAGATGGAACCCACTTTTTCTGTGCTCTGTAAACTCTCATTATCACTATATAGAGTCACAGTGAATATGTACACATTGCATATTGTTTAATCTTTGATGTGACATTTTTGTTCTGACTTAAGTGTTTCAGTTCCAGTGTTGGATATTCGGTTATTGTGTTCTACTCCCCTCTGGACTATTGCTATACATGTTTTATATAGTAATAATCTTCTCACCTTGATGCCACAAATTGAATAATTTTTAACAGTAAAATCCAAGTAGTCTATCTAGTCTTAGTTGCTTAATGTCTGTTAAGTATTTTCAAAGACAAGCCTCAGGGTTGTGTTTTCTGGTATTTTTGACTTCCTAGTGACTTGTACATGAAGTTTAGAATGGGGGGGGCAATAGAGATGAGCAGGGAAGATGGATGACTGCACATTCAGTTGCAGTAGTTAGTCTTCATAACAGGAGTTATTATTATTTTTTTTCTGAGCATACTTGTTTAGGAAATAAGTCTTAAGGACTCTTGCTGGGTGCTATAGCACTAAATTAAAAATCAGTGTGTGACATTTCTGAATGTAAACTGGGATTCTGTGTACATTTACCCCATCTACCAGTGTGCAGACTTGGCATTTTCTTAAATTGTCATATTAATTCAGTTCATTTACTCGTGCCTTAATTATGGGTCTGCGTTTGCATCACTTTGTGTTAGAGCTGTACTGATGCTTGTTCCCTTGTTAAATTAAAGTGAGGGGGCTCTTGTTTTATATAAAAGGTGGCAGGCAGCACTCCCCTCAGCAATGAGACACTGCCTAATGAAATTTAATGTATTTTTATGCACTTCTCTCCGTTCCTTTGCCACATTATCGATCATAAGGTCTTTTACTGTGTGCTGACTTTGTATCTGTCCTAACTAATGAAATTCTGATATATAAGGGAAATAGGTAGTTGGTTATGGATCTGTGGAATAAATTGAATCTTTTTGTTTCTGGATTGGCTGGAAGAATTATATACTATATCATTAAAGACTACTGCACGTGTAAATTAAAAAGGGAGACAACATTACAACACATTACTATTCAGAGTTATGTTTAATTCATTTTGACTCAAAGATGAACAGGGCTCTGCAGTGTACACGCTGTTACAGAAATTAATGAGAGGTGTATCTCAATGCCACTGGAGAGAAGGATCCCTTCCCATTTGAAATTACAACTGAGCACCTGAATTCCTCTTTCTGAGTAGTATTACATGTACATATGCTTTTTTACAATCTGTTCATGGATCATTGATGTTCTTTCTTCTGTGTGTACAAATAGTAGCCTACTTACTGAAGAGAATAAACCTGTTATGCCAGCATTCCATTAGGACTTATCATAACTGGGTAACTATTCCTGCCTTTGAACAAGTGATAGGCTAGGGATGGGGTGGAGCTAAGAATAGAGTGAATGGGTGAACAGGACAGGACAGTGGGTTTGACTCCTGACCTGGAAAAGGCCGTGGCACTCTGTTTTGTTTGCTTGAGATAAGGTCTCACACTGTAGCCCAGCTTGCCCTGGTGACCCACTATCTCAGCTTCCCTGGTCACACATGCATCACCACGCCCAGCTGAAATGGGTAACTGCTGAAGTTATATAAACACTGTAATTTTTACATGAGCTCTTCGCTGAGGACAGATTTCAGGTCTTTCTATGAAGCAGTGCTGTGCCAGGAATTGTGTGTGCCATGCTTATTCAGTTCTCATGAAGCTTGTAGTAGAAGGAAGCCCTGCTATCATCACCTTTGGGTTGGTGGGGAAACAGAGTGCAGAGGGCCTAAGGGGGTGGCCCAGGATCAAAATTGTACTAAGTGGCATAAGTTGGAGCTCACCCTTGTAAGTCTAATCATTGCTACATCTTTCATATCCCATGGCACATAGTTTAATTTGATAGTCTTGTTCATGTCATGAAATTGTCCATTTGTTTTTCACTTTTGCCTATAAACTGAATTGTTCTGCTTGAATTAGTAATGCAGGTTTAATTTCCATATTGGGAATAACTTCAGTGTTTTGACAGCCGCTGCATTTTGTAAGAGTCTCCTGGCCTTCATGTCAACCTCTTGAAGAAGTGATGCATCATCCCCCTTACTTCTCAGATATGCTGCCTCCCTCCTCTGTTCTTAGCTGCTTGTGCTGTATGTCATGACGTGACATAGCTCTTGCTTAGGTCATTGTAGATCATCACATTGAAGAGTCATTATTATTGATTACCGCTGAGGCCTATGCTTAATGTTGATCTTTGTAATCTCTTCCTTGACATGTTTTATTTGGCTTTTAGAACCCAAAAGAGATTTATTTGTGTGTGTGTGTAAATGCTACCTGATTGCAGTTGACTGCAGAGATCAGAAGGGGGCATTGGGTCTCTGGACCTTGAATTGCAGGCACTGTGCAATGTGGGTTCTGGGAGCTGAACCTGGCCCCTCTACTGCAGAGCCATCTTTCCAGCTCCCAACACTCTTTTAACACCAGCAAGTTCCACCAGATGCTCTCCTCTCCACGTAACTGTTGTGTGATGTATTTTGCTATGTTAAGGTTAAAACCCTTCTTTTTATTTTAGACAGAAAAGAGAAGATGATGGGAGATGTCATTCTGTAAATAGGTTTCTCATACTGGTTAATGAATAAAGCACTGTTGGCCAATAGGAAAGCAAGATAGGCGGGACTAGGAGACAAGGAGGATTCGAGGAAGTAGGAAGGAGGAGTCAGCATAGAGAGTCTAGAGAGAGCAGAACACTAGCACACTCTCCGGTAAGACCATGTGGAAATACTTAGATTAATAGAAATGGGTTAATACTTAAGACAGAGCTAGCCGATAAGAAACTAGTACCTGGCCAACAGCATTATATCAAATACAGAGTCTCTGTGTGTTATTTGGGGCAGGCATGGTGGTGGGCCCAGGCCGGGGGATGAAGGGGGGAACCTACTCATAACACCCCTCAGCTTTTAAAACTGCTTGAATGGATTCTTTGGGCTTTGATGGCATTTGATACCTATAGATGGAATAAATATTTGCCTCCTATACTGCCATGGGACTTGTCTCTCCCATATTGTCTTCCTACTGTTTCATTTCAACCTGTTTCTTTTATTGACTTAATTTATCTTGTAAATAATAGGGTTTCATTATGACATTCGTATGCATACGTAATATGCTTGGATCATATCCATCTCCATTCCCCTCATTTGTATCATTCCTCAAGCCTGCTAGCTGAGTTTTTGTTTGTTTGTTTGTTTTGGTTTTGTGTTTGTTTTTTATCTCCCTTGGCCAGAGTAAAGCTGTCAGGATTGTTGTCTCCTGTCCTAAATCTTAGTCACTTTTGTTTTGCTGTACTATGTATTAGAATGTAATTAAGTGGACACTGACCTCCAAGCTGTTGTTTTATTCTAAAGCCCAAGAAATTAGTTTGATTTGCTTGCATGTGAAATTCTGAATCTTCCTCACTTTTACTCCCCTGCCTGAGTCTGTCGGGATTTTTAAGACTGACCTGTAATACTTCCTTCTTTTTTATTCTTGCTTTTGAGTTTATACCGATTTCCCAAGGTTTCTTCCTCTCATTGACTCTAGAAGAGTATATCTGCATACTCAGGACCAATTTTTACTACATTGCTTGTGTAATTCTACCACATTAAGTTGAACTCACATTCAAGAATTTTCTTCTAATCACAGATATTATTGGGGTTTGGACAGTTACTATTACCACTGCCCTGGTGTCCACTCTTGCTACTGATGCTAGCTGCTGCAGTTTACAGGAAAAGTTCAGAATGGTGTCTTGTCAAAAAGCACAATGGAAGGATACTTCACTTTTTTTTTAAGACTTATTTTAATATTTATTACTTTACGTGTATGAGTGTTTCACCTGCATATATGTATGTGTACCATGTGC